TCTCTTTTTTGGAAAACTTTTGTCCACTTTAGGTCCAAATTCTGAATGAACTTCGCACGTATGATTTCAATTTAACAAATTTGATTCTATCACTAGATCCTAAACTGATATTCCCTGGTACAAAATCCATTATTCCATCAAGTCTCTCATTTTTAGGGGTCGACAGCCAAAAATCAAAAATTTCCTGTCTTGAAATTTTAGGAGTCATTTTGAAAATTGAAAATAAATGTATGGGTGCCGCAGCTAGCCGCAGAATTTTTGTGTGGATTATATTAGTATATACATCAATTGAGAGAATAAGTATAGTAAGTGATCTATATTCCGCCATATAAGAATGATTTCTTCTACAAAAACAAAAAAAAAATAATCTGGTACTCACCAAAAAGATTAAAACTTTATCAGGGCCAAAAAAATATGTGCGTCCACTTCGGTAATAATTTTTACATTTCCTGAATTTTCTTACTTAAAACAATGACGGAGAAAGAAATAAAGTTAAACCAAAGATTCTTTAAACAAGTTATTGAGCCTTAAAAATACTCAGTTTTCGTTGCACACACAATTTCATTTTTCACTTATTGCTTACTATGACATTTGGATACCGTTATGTTTATATGTAGCCAAATTTTTTCAACAAAAGTTGTATTTACTCTTATGTAGACAATATTCTTGCAATTTAATAAAAACTTGATTGAAAAATTACAAACCAAAAAATTTAATTAATATACCTTAGCTTTGCACATTGGACCACTGTGCGTCGTAGTCCCCTACGAATATTGTAACGTGGACAAAATCTACGACGAGCAGTTTCACACTAATCATTGACCTTGAAATACGCTTCGATTGCGAACGCACGTTGTTTACCCGTCCACTGCGACATCGTGATTAAATAACCCGTACGAATCACGAAGCTAACGCTGTCCCCACCCCGCCGATACGCTCCGCGGTTAGGGAGAAACTGTAAATCTAATTCTGCCACCCGAAACCCTTTATATTTAAGCACACTATTTAGTTTGCACAATTTGTAAACGAAGCTTCCCAGCGGCCAAAAATATACTATTGTGAAGAACCTAAATGAGCGAAATTCACAATAGCACTATTCTTCACCGAATGAACGTCATAATACTAAATGAAAATTGGTTCGATCAGCACTTTCGACCACTGTAGAGGACCGAATGCAACCCATAAAGGGGCCGTTAAGTCGAATCTTGCCTTTGCCTACGTGAAAACTGGTTACAAGCAACGCTACACGCAGGAATTCCCTTCGCCTCAACGAACTTGAATTTGTGGCACAATTAGCTGGGATTTTGTTTAAATATTTTTACAGTTTTATTCGCGTTTTCTAAAACATAATTACAACTTATTACAGTAAATAATTTTTTTCACATTCAAAAGATTAAATTTTTTTGAATTTTTGATGTTCAAGAATAAAAATTTAAATAATCATTTGTCAAATTAGATTATGTTATTTATATCTGGATCACTGTATTACACTGGTTCACTTATTCGTATTTTGCTATCTGTTCTCGAGGCAATTTATTTTGTCACAAAAAAGTTAAATTTCAAAACTGTGTGCCTGGCGTTGCTGTTTTAGCGACCAAGGACGGTATTGTTAATAATAATTTTAACTTAAAAGAAGAGGATATCCAATTTTTAATTCAATTTGTAAAATAGATAAGACTACTTTAAATAATAGCAATACGGCAGAGTAGCCAAACAATACAATTTTAAGAAAAGATTACCCACTGCGTTGGTATTTTTTAAGGGAAAGAACAAACGCTGGATATATGTGGTCGGGTTAAGGTATTACAACATGAAATTCTAAGACTCAAAGCAAAAGTTACAATTTGTCAATGTTATTGTGGCTTATTAACATTTTTATTTTTAATATTATTATTGAGCTTTGTACCACGAAAAAGCAACAAAGTGCAAGTGGAAGAAGTTTTGCAGCTATTTCGGAGATCACCACATCGGGAGCTTCTCATTACGCTGCATAACAAAATTCCACATCGCAAAGCTCTGCAAAATGTTAAAAAATTTTGCTTGATTAAAATTCTGTATTTTTTTAATTTTGCTTTTTATAATTCTTCCCTTTCAAAATTCTGCTTTTGAAAGTTCCGCATTTTGAAATCCTGTCTCAGAAAATTTTACTTTTCGCTTTTTCTTCTTTCAAAATTCGGAAGACGCCACATTGGCATCGCATGCATTCCTGCAACTGATAAAATTCCCTCAACTCTCTGCTTTTGAGGCGCGTCAATGCGGAAAACAACAATGTATGAGCCGTTTTGTTTGCGGCAAAGTTTTCATTGTGTCGCCTCGCCATGTTCTGTGCCTCTTGTCAGTCAAAAGCATCCCTGTGACGCAGAAGAGTTTCTATCTGGCGGAGCCTTAACTTTTTTCTCCGTGGTGTGACGCGTTGGAAAAATTTTGAGAGTTGAAAATCCAAACAATCGCGCGTGCGAATGTTCTATTTTTGTGTTTTGCTGAAATTGTTAAAATTGATATCTATTTTATAACTTGCAAGTAACGTACGCCTTTTTATGCTCTTTTCAGCTTTCAATTTGATTTATATATATTTAGAAGCTGTCAAAATTGTACCTAGTCCCATGAGCTAGTTAAAATTCTGACGCTTGTATTCAACACGATAAATGTAAAATTTTTGGTTTTATCCGTCAAAATTTCATCTTTTCTATCAATTGGCACAGGCCCTTTGTCTTAAATCTACATTTAGGAAATACATTCTAAGCGACCTAAAAATCTGTTACTACTTAGCGAAAAGAATACCAATTCTTACATAGTGATTTTACACTTATCAAAATAAACCCTTATTTTCAATATATGCAACCAACATTTTGTTTTAGTAAAATACAATATTTTGATAATTGTATCTCTTCAAAAAAAAAGAAGAAAACCGTGTGTCTTAAGTCATTTCTTTTTTTAATAGAAGATTTAAAGTAAGTTCTTGTAAATTCAATACAAGATTACAAAACTGGGAATTGCTTCATCCAACAACTACTTTTAGCCGGCGATGCCACATTTCGCGACGGTTTTACGTTGTAGAAAAGGTTTCTGTTTCCGATGCATGCTGTCATGCACTGACCAAAACTCAGGGGAATATTTCGCGTTATTATTATTTCCAGTGCGGACTTTTCAAAGTAACGACATGTCCTATTTAATATTGTTTCCATTATGTTTTAAAACAGAATTATGTAATTCAGTATTTTAAAAAGCAGAATTGTCAAAAGGCAGAATTTTCAGAAAGCAGAATTTCGTGTTCCGAATTTTGTAGTATCAGAATTTCGATACCAACCCGAATGTGTAGAATTGACAACAACAACCACGCTGTCAAGTTTAATAGCGGCAAATCAGCTGCACTTGATAGTAGTAGGTTGAATAAGGAAATGAATTAGCAACAATAGTTTAAGGGGTGTGCAGAGCTCAGTGGTAAACGCTCCTGACTTTGCACATCGATGTCGCGGGTTCGATCCCTGCTGAAGTCTAGAAAAAGAAGTCTGATGAGCATGAGATGTGGTGATCTCCGAAATAGCTGCTATAACTTCTACCGCTTAGACTTTGTTGCTTTTTCCATTTTTCAAAAGTTACAATATTAAAAGATTATAAAACATGCATACATGCTGTTTGAATTTTAAGGTAACATTTGAAATAAGCAATAAATTGTTTCCGAAACGAGGAAACATATTCTCCAACAGTTGGTCGTCCGAAATTAGTTTTTGGTTGGTCGGGTAATACACAACGTTCAGTTTTAAATTTTCCAAATATTCTTCAAATTTAAGTTGCGCTTCGCAGAAAGAGTGCAAGTGTTTTTAATGAATTAGCATTTTATCCGTAATTAAAGGGATTAAAAATTTATTAATTTATGGAGGTAAATATATGATTTTTTAAAGTTTTATAATATGATTACAAAATAAACATCGTGTTTTATAAGCATGTTGGTAATATATTACATATATTAAAGGAATCCATGAAATCGAGAATAGAAATCATTAAATTTTATATACAGAGAATATTATGCTGCTTTAAACGTAATACATTGGCCCCTCATTAAAACGAACCCTTAATCAACTTTAACTACGCTATATATTTTACGAACAAAAAAAAAGCAAGCCACAAAACCTATCGTTCCGGTAAGTAAAAAAAACAAAAATACCATAATGCAAGTATAGCCGAAATATAAGAATACAGATGCTCCATCCTTAATCGAAAGTTTAGTAAAAAAGTAATGGCAACAGTATATGCACAGATAAACAGCCGTGAATGCAGATGTTAAAAACGATCGCCACCACCAGTGATAATCCTCCGCACAAAGATGAAAATAACACAGTAGAACTGTAGTCTCGGAACAGGTTATGATCAATATTAGAAAAACGAGGAATAGAAACCCAAACATATAATACATTTGATTAGACCAAATAGAACTAAGAATAAAAAATAATTGAATAAAAATACATCCAAATGGTAAAACGCCTCCCATAATTATTCCTGGAATTGGTTGTGTGTAAATCGATTGATCCGGAATTTGTCGTGGAATTTGGTTTGTTCGAACAGGATGCTCCAAGATCTGAAAAAAGAAAATAAAAAGTGCTTGAAAATACTCGATAATCTTCATTTCTTAAAAACTACAGCAGCGTTCAATGAATTTACTACGAAATTCAAAATAATATTGATTGCAACTTATGTTGAATTATTTATTTTTAATAATTTTCATTTGAAATATAGTTCAAACTATAACAGCCTGGACAAATTTCAAAAAACAAATAATCAAACTTCAAACGATTTTCATACAAATTTCACACTTTTTAATCTCAATCTTAAGAAAATTTCCGGATGTGCCCATTCAATTTTAGTCTAATAAAAAGAAACTTTCAAGTCGCTAAAAATTACCGTGGAATTTTTACAACTTTTTTGTGGAGGGAGTTGTACATTTCCTCCATATAACGCATGATAAAAATGCGCAACACCCTCCACGAAAGAATTCTAAAAAATCAACGGTAATTTTTAGCGACTTGAAACTTTCTTTTCAGACTAAAATTGAATGGGCTATAAAACTGCATATCCGAAAATTTTTTTAAGATTGTGATTAAAAAGCTTGAAACATATTGATTTTCAAGAATTCTATACCATTTCTACGAAAAGGTGTTTTTTCCCATATAAAATGCATGGATATTTGAGCGCTTTGAGCGAGCTCCAAATATTTAATGATTTCAAAATAAATAATATGGGTATATTTTTTCGGTATATAACAATCCTACACTCAGAGAAAGAATCAAGTTGTTCGCACTCGGTCTTAGCATTTCCGAACTTAAAATCGGATACTCGTACACATAATAGAGAAGCATCATATTTGATTTGAGTAGGAAATTTTTATTTCAAGAAGCAAATATGTAGATTCCATATACTTAAATCGAGTTAATTTGTTCTTATTTTTAGGCCGACATTTTTCCCTCAGTTTAGGGAGTGAGAGCATAAAAATTCAGACTTTACTTTTTCACATGCATTTTTGAACCACCCACTGCACATATCGTCGCTACCATGTCAAACTATCGAATGTGAAAATGGGTACTTTTCCGGAGCAAAAACACTGTTGTTGTCATTAGGAAAAAGTGTGGGTTCCGACATAGTATTGTTACAGCCAGTATCTCTGTTTTTAAGACTAGAAATTCGACGATTTGCGGACTTTCGTATAATTCTGAACGCATGCGCAAGGTATCAAAAATGAAAAAACCATTTTACACATTCGATAGTTTGACATGGTAGCGACGATACCTAAAAAACTAGTTTCGTAAAATGTTGTTGCAGGGATCTTTTTGTCATATAGTATTTACTTTGAATGGATTCTACTTTATACTTATTAAAACTTATACCTACGAGTGTCTCTGAAGCATTAGTTGTTGGATTAGCTCCGTTATTAACATCACCAGTTGGCTCGCCTGATCGGTTACCGTTTTTTTCCGGCTAACTTTTGCTTTTGTTCAATTTTACACAAGCATAATGAATCGAGCAAATAAAAGACGTGAGGCTATTCGAGAACAAACGGATAACCCAAATATAACATTTCGTACTGCGGTCCCTAAATTGAAGCGCTCAGCGTGGCGTTTTCCATTGTCAACGGGTGTCAGCGCGCGCTATCCCCAAATCAACGCGGCGTAATTTTTGACGTTTTCTCAGATCCTCTCCTTTTTATTCTGGTTTCCTCTTTCACTTTTTTGTCCTTTCTCTTTCTTTCCGTCTTCTGCATCCAACTTCAACGCGTAACGCCCTTCAAAAATAAAAATTCCATTTGCTCGGCGTTAGCGCCGTGTTATTGTGGGATGCTTCATCCAAATTGTATGGGCATGCGGATTTTTGACAGTTGCTTGGCGCTTGATGCGCCAATTTAGGGATGGCAGTTAAGCGAAAAAGTTTGTGGTTCAAAAAGCAAGTTAGCAACTTTAGAGCTGAAATCGAGGATCACAGCTTACTGCGCGCGAATGAAACCAGCATAATTGTAAAACTGGAGCAGTTGGAAATAATGCAGGCACAATTTGAAGATTACGTTCTTCCACGTTCGCACAATCATCCATTCGTCGGCAGTCGCCGATGGAAGAACATTCCGCAGTGGCCTCCATTACGGTAGTCCCAAGATTTCGTTTGCCACCGTTGCAGTTACCCCGATTCAGTGGGCAATGTTCAGTGCAGTCGTAGATAAGGAGACGAACTTGTCAAGCGTCGAGAAATTTCAACACCTAGGGTCGTGCGTAAGTGGAATCGCTTTAGATGCTTTTCGGCCTTTGGAAACCAACGCGGAAGAGTATGAAAAAGCGGTAACATTACTAAAAATAGATTTCGATATAAGGTCCATTCTTTTGCAACCGAGCTACAAAAGAACACTCGCTTAAATGACGAATTACATGCAAAGCAACAACACAAACTCGCCTATTTATCCGAGTTCAGCCAGGTCGGTTAAAAAATACGCGAAAGTGTTGTTAAGTGAAAAAACTGCTCTATTGTGAATTGTTTACGAGAAAGTGGAGAGGGAAATTTTTATTTTCGTATATACATTATTTATATTTTAAATACGCATTTATATTACGCAAATATCTCGCATAATTACTAATACCTATTGTTTTTTTGTGTCTAAATCCCGTTGAACTAATCACGTGTACGTATAATGGAGAGCCTTGAAAACACTACATCCAGTTCGGGACACCAGGTGAATCATAAAAGGAATTCCATTCGTAAACAATCATTTGTCACCGCCAGCCCTGCCAAAGGGTGTGCATTTTGCAATGCTATAGAGCATTTAATTTTCACGTGCCCTTTGTTTCAAAATTTATCACCTTCGCTGCGCTTCAAGGAAGGCAAAAGGTTGCAGCTTCGTATTAACTGTTTTCGAAAAGGCCATGTCGTGAAAAATTGCAAATCAAGCAATTGCAGAAGTTGTTCAAGCAAACATAATACCTTGCTTCACTTGTCCTCAATCGCTCGTCCTGTTCTCGAGGATGCAGCCGCATCTCCGGAGGCGGCTCTTATTACGGACTCTAAGCAGCCTGTTGCATTCGTGTCTAAGGAGCATGCTACGTTGGCTACTGCTGTGGTATTCTAAAAAGCCTTGCTTGATTCCGCATCGCAATTGCATTGTATAACTTCAGGGCCCAATTGCACCAACGGCTTATCACTTATCACCTTACAACTTTTGGATAAGCCTTTTTTTTTGAAAAGTAAAGTTGATAAGTGTTGCACTTTTTACTTATCAAAAAAACGTATCAACTTATAAAAAAAAAGAGTAACTGAAAATTTGCTTGGATAAGTCGATTTGATAAGCATTGCATAGCCAATTTCTTTTGCTTCTCAAATAGAGAACTTTACGAATAATGTGCTTAGCTACAATGATTACCGTTTCCTAATGGAAAACGAAGGCTTAGGAAGCCCATGTGCGATTTGATAAACATTTTCAACTTCCCTTTTTTTCTTACTATGTCGCGCGCACAAAGCAAAGCCAATAAATTGGCAGTCTTAAAAATTGGTAAGGAAAAAAGTAAGTCCGTCTTGACTATCATACGTATGTTTATATAAATAGCTATATTTTTCTACATTTTAGGATTATATATTTGAATCTTTCCAAAACAATTCAGTAACAAAAACCACATAGCATTAATAGAATTACATATTTCCCTACCGATTAACAAATTGGTACTCAGTAACCTTAGGGGCGCCTATGTATATCTTATTTCCATCAATGCACCCTGCGACTTAAGGAAATCCACCAATGCTGAAAAATTGTGTGGCAATATTTTGCGTAAATTCCGGCCAACAAATAGTTTCATTCATCAATTTGTTTATCACGGCATTTGCCACTCGATGGATTACTCTACATAGCGGTAATTTGTGGACCCTGTAAATTAAAGAAATGCTTGCGTGTAGCTTGCAACAAGAATTGCTGCTTTATTTGAAATTACTTTCTTTTTATACAAAATTTCTTACACTAATTTACACTAATACTTACAAACTACAAATGTGCATATGGTATGCTAAATCAGCATATGTGTCATAGTTATTTTGGCAGTCGCACTGACAAACTGACGCTGACGATCTGTTGATCTGATCGTCACGTGAGTTGGTCAGTGTGCCTGTCTTGAGTAATGCAATTGGCAAGTGTAAACTGAACTGTGCCTTTGAACGTTTGGTGTTGAACTCCCGCTGAGTTCATTATGACTTATGTGGGTCATGATGGCATTGACATCGTGTGCGGTCGATATTTGTAAATGCATTAGAGTGGTGTATTTACTGTAATACTACACCTTCCGCCTTAAAAAAAAAAAGGATCTATATAATTGCAGTCAATTCTATATATCCATTTTTAACGACTTAATGACCTACTTAAGGCTTAGTTGTGCTTACAAAATTTTAATTGCTTTTCGGCTCATATTGCCATTATTGCATGAAGTGTTTGTTATGGTTTCTTTTTTTTT